TTTTTGATAGTTCAACAACAAAACATATTTCGAGGCTCTCGGTATCCGAAATTTAGGCCAGTCCCTCGCTCTAGCGCCGCAGGCCAAAGAAAAGGTCCTTGGCCCGGGCACTAGCGCCGCAGGCCAAATGCTGGAGAAAAATCAGTAGCTAGCGCCGCAGGTCAGAGAATGGTTCCTAGAGACAGGCTCTTGCGCCGCAGGCTTTCAAAAACGGAAGGGGAATATATGATTCCTAGACGGGGGCAGTGGAAAAGAGCCGCGAAGCGGTCTTTTTCCACTGGTTTTAAAATAATGCAACTTGAATGTTTTTTTATAGGGACTAATAGACGAAACTAAAAAACTGAGAAACTTCGATCAAAAACCTGTTAAAATCAGCCCAATCTCCGGATACTTCGATGGGCGGGTAACTTGCCGCCGGAGTGATATCTGGAGCCTTTTTATTCATCTAAAATTATTAGAGGCTAAAGGAAGTATTGGGGATTTCAAAATACTGCAAGCTAATTAACAAAATCCGACCTCCTGCGCCATATAAACGATGGGTATCGAGAGGAGCAGCGGGATCACGATTTCCACCGTTGTCCACGCCTAAATGAAGGGGATGGATCTGGATTTTTCTTCGTTTTTTACGCGATCCACAATTTGACGACGTTCCTCTATCACTTACTCAAAAATTAGTAAAACTTTCCGGAAATTCGAGATTCCGAAACTTGTTGCTCAAAAAAGTCTGGAAAATTTAGAAAAATTTCAGGTTTTTACGGATTTTAGCATTTTGGTTTTTATACCAGTTTAGCTACCGGTACCACTAAGAATAGTCTAAGAATTTATCTTATCTAAGGAATTTAGAGGTATAGGTTTATTATGCGAATTTAGCTCCTTTCCCGCCAATGAACCAACCCTTTCTTAAATCATATTTCCCAAGACTCTACCCCTCTGTACATATCTCGGCTCTCCTAGGTGTTACTGGGCTTTAAAGTATACAAAAATGTTTTCCTTGATCTGTAGGGTAAGAATACGATCCATTTGAATGGAAGAAAAACGGAAATTAAGATGTTTGAGCTGAAAAACCCGGGATTGAAACTGGGGTGAGAGAACTAGTGGCTTGAGTTTAGCCCCTTTTCAATTTGGAGCACCCGTCAAACCAAATCCCAACCTTATTCCTCCACAGCAGTTTCAAATTTTTTTGCGTGAGTAAGCGGAATTGATCCCAAAAAGAAAGACCACGTCGATTCGTTGTTCCTTGATTTCGCATGTTTGAGAATGCAGAAGATTGATTCTTTCGAATTCTATTTATCGAACACCAACTACCAGTCCTGGAATACATATATTAAACGATTCTGCAACGAAAAATCTACATAAAATTCTGGCAAAAGAATTCGTGAGCGAGCGAGTGAGCAAAAACTGAAAACTGATAAGAGCAACACCGTGGAACAACTTTCCAAAAGCCGGAAAAATTGCAGGAAAATCGGGTTCGTAAATGCTAAAAACCATAATAACCACGGCGGGGGTCGAACCTGGACAGTGGGATTGGAAAGCGAGAACGCAACGAACTGGCCAAGTAAGAAAAAGGAGTATTGAGGTATCTTATCAGTCGCAACTCGCGTGGGGGGGGGGGGGGGGAAATTTAATTGCATTAGGTAAGTCTGGTGACGCATTGGCGCCTTATTCTTAACAAAAATAGGGGACTTTTCTTATGTCAGAGAAGCCCGAGCGGTCGATAGGCCAATTTTTTTTGACTGCATCTTCCGGGACACCCCTGGGTCGTCCGTTATCTCACTTACCACCTCTCTCTCTCGCTCACTTCTCTCTCTCTTTTCTTATCAGAAGTACCTCTTAAAAATTGAACCTTACCCAACGCCCATCCATACCCTTGCGTGGGTCATGCAGTGGTACGTTCCAGCCAGACTCGATAGGATGTGCCTAAAAAGGCTCGGAAGTATCGGATCGGAACGATAGCGATACGATAGCCAGTCAAATGCCCTTAAAACGGCCAGTGCCATATTTTTATTAAAATGCGTTATATTACAGTCGTCGGTTCTGTTCTATTTCGCGGGGGGGAAACTGTGCGGGGGGGGGAATATGCTTCGCGGAATCTTCCATCTTTTCGCTATTTTCTCGAGATTTTTGCAACGCCATTCGATAGAGCATCATAAATATACTCAGAGTTTTTGGTTTAGCTAAAAATATTGTAATCTAAAAAAGTTATAGCAAAAACAAAAAAAACTATTGAAACTGGTTCCGGAATGTTAGTTTTCGGCATTTTCACCATTTTTTCGATATTTTGAACCTGTCATCCGATAGAGCATCAAAAAATATACTAAGAGTTTTAATTTCATCTAAAAATATTGTTTTATAAAAGAGTGATAGCAAAAACAAGGTTTATACGGTGTTTCCACATGGGATCGTGGAGTCGAAAGTTAGTTTTCGACATTTTCGATAACTTTCAAAAATTTCTTGAATGCCATTCGATAGAACGTCAAAAAATATACTAAGGGTTTTAATTACAACTCAAAATAGCATCAAATAAAAGAGTTATAACAAAACGAAGAAAATTTCCCCACGCACAGTTCCCCCCGCGAAATAGAACAGAACCCAGTCGTCTTGTAGAATTTTGCGGGTCTTCGGGTTTCGCGGCCCTTTTCCACTGGACCCGTCCGGGAAACCATGCAATTGAACTTCTTTTGAAGTCAAGAACCTGAGTCAAGGAGCCATTCCTTGGCCTGCGGCGCCAGAGTCAGCGTTGCGCTAGAATCTTTGAGCCTGCGACGCCAGTTACTGGTTTTTCTCCAGGAATTGGCCTGCAGCGCGAGAGCCTAGATCAAGCGCCTGGGTCATGGACCGATCTTTGGCCTGCAGCGCCAGAATCTGGGCCAGGACCTTTTCTTTGGCCTGCGGCGCTAGAGCGAGGGCCAGGCCTAAACCTCGAACTCCGAGAGCCTAGAAATATATATTTTTTTTGTTACTGAAATACCAAAAAGCAAAAAGTTGAATCCGCCCCCGGAACCGAACCCACGACCACACGCGTGACCAAACAGTTATAAAGAGGATATATCACTCCCTCCCCATGCCAAAAATCAGCCGGAAATTCGGACTGACGACCGAGAAATCGGCTGCACAGAAAATACACATACTTTTCTCGCTTATAGGATAGGAGTTCCGCCCTTGGCAGATTCATGGTTGTCCTGGCTCGGAACGTGATGAATTCTGGAACAAGGAAACTGAAAAAAAACACATTTTTAAAGGGCCAGAAGTAAAAAATGGTCAATCCTACGGGCTAAAAAGTAGAGTGGCGCTTATTCAAATCAGATTTGAATAAGATTCAAATTATTCAAATCAAGCCGATTTGATTTGAATTGGAGCCGATCAAATCAAATCAAATCGATTTGATTTGGGTTCAGCCAGTTCAAATCAAATCCAGCCGATTTGAATAATTGGAATAAGATCTCATCGAAATGAACCCAACGCAACTCGTAATTCGTCCACCGGTCTTTCCCTACAATCTCGTAGCATTGTTCCAGCGTCCCAGTTAATGATTCCTTATACATTTCATATTCTTTTTACGCTTTAGCTTTTGCAAAGAAAATCCATAGCGCAGGCAAAATCTGACAAATAAAACCGTCTGGCTCAATTTTATATAAAGGCCATCGAAACACCCATGAATTATTGTAAAGGACACCTAAATGGGCAGAAACGGCGCTACCAAAAACCCTCCGAATTGGCGATTTTCAATTTGCATCCCAGATAAGCCTGTTGTTCAAATCCCAAATCAAATCGATTTGATTTGAGTTGGCCAGCCCCTATTTCAAATCAAATCGATTTGATTTGAAGTTGATTTTTTCGCACTCAAATTTGCTAATTCAAATCAAATCCATTTGAAGCCGATTTGATTTGAATAAGCGCCACTCTACGAAAAACTAAGGGATCGTGGCCTAAAACCTGGGAAACGAGGAAGCGGGGGTTTTCCGCTTTGTGATAGCTCCTCAATTTCCCTGACAGCTGGCCCGAAATTAAGTTGATTTCCAAATTGTTTCCGCCAGCTTCCCCACGCAGAAATCCGCTGAATTCGGCTCTTTTCTGCTCTTCGTAACGTGTTTTTCTTTTCGAGTGTTTATCTCCGGAATTTTGAGAATTTTTAAAGGTGAATTTGAAGCCGATTTCCGCAAGGATTCTCTGCAAGCCTGCCCGCCGGCCTGGCCAAAAAGCTTGAAATGATCATGCCTTTTCACAGCCTGCATTTTGTAAAATCAGAAGTACACTGGAATTTATTCAAGTTTATAAAATCCAATTCCAACGTCAAAACATTAGCCTCCTCGGCAAGGCCAGCTTTATTTCTCTTTTCCTTCAACAGAAAAACTTCCAAGTCAAGCCTCAAGAAGATCGGTAAAAACTCAACAAAATGTAAATTGCCGTGAGAAAGTACTTTTTTCAATGTTAGGGTGCTATTAAAAAATACTCAAAAAATCGCAACAATTTATGCAAAAGTGAGAACGAACGAAAGCTCGTGCATCCGGGCCAAAAAGGGGAAGTCATTAAAGCTTTTAGAGGAGTACTGCCAAAAGACGGGGAATAAATTAATATTATTAAAAGGCAAAAGAGAGGAGGAATGTAATTCGGGGGTTTATAAGTAGATATTTACAAAGATGAGAGGCTCTAACATGAAAGAAGACGAGAAATTGCACCAAAAAAAAAGAAAAACAAAGATGCACGAGCTGATTATGCATATTACAGGCACTCGGGAAGCGATTGGGGCAAGGCAAAAGCTCTGCTGGCCTTCCGAACGAGGGAATTTGACGTTTTTTTTTGCATTTTAAAGGCAAAAATTCAAAAATTTCGAAATTTTTAGATTTGTACATTTTTAAATTATACATTTTTTTAATTGTTAAAAACAACGCTCAATTTCCCGCAAAGTGAAATGAATGAAGAACCGGTAGTGAGAGGTTGGCCAACTCATCAGTATGCTTTTTGGCAGGGATATTTGGTGGTGGAAATGAGAAGGCAAATTATGCATTAGATGAAGCGGCTTGGGTTGGTGGTGTTGCTCTGGTTCTGCTGTCCATCTCCAGGTCGGCCCTCTGCTCGTTGCCCAACAGATTGAGGAACGTATCCTCGAGACTGCACTGCGTGATGCTGTAGTCCACGATCTCTGCAAAAATCGGCATATTTTAAGGCCAAAAAGGCGTAAAAACTCCTCCAAAACCCCTAAAAATATCCCTTTTCCCCAATGAATTCTGCTAGCCTGCCATGGCGATCGGCAAAACACACTGGCAAAATGGAAAACTATCCAAATAAAGCTACATATTTCGACTAAAAATCACAAAAACTCGAAAAATTGGCATTCCTGAATGAACTCTGCTAGCCTGCCCTGGCAATAAAGCTAAATATTTTCACTCATCAATCACAAACCCTATAAAATCGTAATTTCTCACTGAACTCTGCTAGGCTGCCTTGCGCAAAAAACCGACGGTGTTCCTCAAGAAACCCGTCTACCTTCCCCGAAAACCTTTCAGCTTTCCTCAATAAACTCTGCTAGCTGCCTGCTGGGGCTTTAATTATAAAATTTCAAAAACTTTGATTTTAATAACTATAAAACCGACCGAGATTATTGCCTCGCGGCGCCAGACTGACCATCTTCTGCCACAATGACGACCAGCTGGTTGTGGTTGTCGCTGGGATCTAAATAAACACCATTAAAAATTAGTTAATTTTAACCAATTTATTTGATTTTATGTAATTAAGCGAATTTTTCTGCGTGTTTCGAGTCCTGGATTCGCTGAAATGTCAAAAGAAAAAAAAACTAAAAAAACCCTGTTTCGAGGTGTCGCCATCCCTCTCAAGATCAAAGACAAAAATTTGGTTACCTGCCAAGAAACGGTGAGCGATTCGCCGGCTTCTCGCATGACAGCCCCGGGGAATGTCTGCTTCATCGCATCATCCACTCGCTCGACAACTTTCCGATGTTCTTCCGATCTGTTCGCGCCTTGGAGAGCAGCCGCCTCCTTCACATTCTTCCCCGCCAACACTACCGTCACCGAATAGCCGCTGCTGTATCTAAAACAATTTTTAAATATTCCAAAAAAAAATTTAAAAAAATCGTTTTTGAAGACAAAAACTCACTTTGACTTGAGATGTTGACTACTGCCAATAGCAGTCATTTTCCCTCTGCTTATAATGGCTATTTTAGTGCATAATGCTTCACATTCATCCATCGAATGAGATGTCAATAATTGGGCTGTCTCCGCCTGATTTCCCAGATTCAAATATTTCCAGATGTCGCGTCGAGCCTAAATATGAATTTCATACTAGACATTTGGATACCTTTGGATCGATGCCAGCTGTCGGTTCATCTAATACTCGAATTGTATTCTGGGCCAATAGCGCTATTCCAACTGAAATCTTCCTCCGTTGTCCGCCAGAGCAATAGCGAAGTTGCTTGTCGCCATGACCCAGCATTCCCACGGCACTCAGAGCCTAAAAAGGATAAAAATTTAAATTAAAAGGACTGAAAACCCGATTTTTCCGAATTTTCACATCGAAACATTCGCATAGAATTAACTTTTTTATTTTCGAGGAGACCAGTTTACGGTAATTACAAAATTATGTATTATTCTACGCCTAAAAGCGGAAAAATTACTTCACATAAATTAATTTTAAACTTTGTTCTACAAATCGATTTTGCACATCAAACATTCTAATATTTCATACGTCTAAAAATCTAGAAAAATACTTTCTGAAAACTACCTTACTTTGTTTTTGTGAAATCTATTTTTTTTCATTTTTTCATTAAAAACTGTAAGTTTATACGCCCAAAAACTGCAAAGCTATCGCACCTCGCTCGCAATTTTCTCTGGCTCGTTATATCCATGGAAACACGCCATCAGCTCGAGTGTCTCTCTTCCCGTCAAATCGAGGAGTACGGCATCAAACTGTGGACAGTAGCCGATCGGCTAAAAAGAATTGATAATCTAAAAATCAGATTCATAACTTACCACCGTAGCCGGTCCATCCTCGCCCAGAATTTCGATACTTCCGCTTGTCGCATATCTCAACCCGGTGATGATGTCGATGGTCGTCGTTTTTCCGGCTCCGTTCACTCCTAAAAACAAGAAAATCAGATTTTAAAATTTTCGCAAAGGATCTAGGCTAGCCGGCCATTTTTTTCCGAAAAATCGCTGCTAGCCTGTTATATGCTGCTTTAGTTCCCCAAATATCTCTGCTCGTTTGCCACCACCAAGGCTTTGCTCAAAAACTCTGCAAGTTTGGCTCGAGTAGTCTTATTTCCACAAAAATCCCGGCTAGCCTGCCTCAAAAAATTCCCAAAAAATCTCTGCTAGATTGACAAAACCAGCCTAATTTCCTCAGAAGTCAGCCAGCTGCTCTGCATGGTTTATTTTACGCCAAAATCTATGCTAGATGGCGTCTGGAAAATTCCCTAATGATCTCTGCTAGTTTTTCCGCAATAAATTCTGCTAGTTCGCCTATGGAATTCCCTAACGATCCCTGCTAGCCTGCCCCCTTAAAAACGCACCCAGTAATCCGAAGCATTGTCCCTTATCGACAGCAAATGTCAGCTCATTAACCGCCGGCTTCGAAAAGTTCCATCCATACACTTTCTTCAGTTTTCGCACCTAAATTCGATTAATTTAATTAAATCTAAATTTCGTTACGGTATAAAATCTGAAAATAACGTACGACAAGCTGTGGCCTGGAAATGAGCGGCTCGGCGACATATCTCTCCTCATTCTCCACATCCACATCTCGTTCTCCATCCATTCTTGGAGGGGCATTCTTGAATGGGATATGACCCCACAGGGTGGAGAATCCACGGCTGATATGACGAGAGGAGAGGCACACGAATAGCACCCAACTCGCCAGCCCGAAGAAGAACATCATTGCGGCGGGGCGGCCTGCAAAACTTGAATATTTTGACTCGTAAAAAATCTAAAAATCAATTTCGAAAAATTCTGAGCTTTCCAAAGGCTCACTGCTAGCATGCCCGAAAATTCGATCTCAAGAATATCTGCTAGCTTTTTGTAAAAGCCTAAATCTTGTAGAACGACCCGGCTATCTAACTTCCTAAATGTTCTCTGCTAGCCCGCTCCAAAATTCTAACTAAAAAAAAATCCCTGCTATAAATGTCCGGCTCTCGCCCGGAAACCGGGCCCAAGAATCTCTGCTAGCTTGCCCTCAAATGGGGAAAGTCCTTTTGAGATCCACTCTTCCTAAAAATCACTGCTAGTTGCCCGCCGGCGATAAATTCAAAAAAATCCGAAAAAATCGCACTTTTCTCCAAAAACCTCTAATAGCCGGCCCAGACTTTAGAAATCGCCGCTATTTTTTCCAAACTAACCGTTGTTTACCTGTCAACTCAGAAAAACATTTCCCCAATGGCATTTGCTAGCCTGGCGGACTACAAAAAATGGGGTTCCTAAATGGCCTTTGCTAGCTTGCCGTAAATCAAATAAATAAATTTTTAAAAATCATGATAAAAAATAATCAATACCATAAAAATCGCAAAACTCACCCAGCATACACCAGGCCCACAGATCAGTTCGGTTACAGCCCGACCCAATGCTGGCAAAATCTGGCGGTAGTTCGCGGAAGACCTTCCACATGGCTATCGCCTTCATTCCGTTACCCATCGCGTATGGCGGCAGCAGGAATACCAGGAACGTCTGAAAAATGCCCCCTAATTAACATTACAAAATTTCAGAATTATCCCCAAAGCGCGAACAAAAAAAACCGGGGGAATTTTTGCGAAAATTCAACCAACCAAATCGGTCGAGTTTTTTGCGGATTAAAAATCTAAATTTTGTAAAAATATTTAAATGATTGTATATTATGATATTAAATCGCCTCTTTAATTTCCAAATTCCAAAAAAGTGCAACTTTCGGTCGCTATCAATATATCAGATTTTAGAAAAAACGTCGAAAACGCTCTTTTAAATTTAAAACAATCAAAATGTTGTAAAAATGCAGCAGATTTTGAAAATTTGGTCAGAATTTCGAAAATGAAGCCAAAAGGATCTTCGAAATTTCATTATTCGGTCGCGAAAATACGCAAAAAAATGGATAGACGAGATTTTAGAAAATACGGCGACAAAACGGTCCTTAAAATGTCAAACAATTCCAAAAATTTCGAAATTTCGTAAAATGTTGAAAGATCTTGTTTAAAGTGGTCTCAAATTTTTTCAAAATTTGAATTAAACTCACGCCGGTCCAGTCGGAACTCTCGGGTGCCATGGCGAACTGTATGGCCTCGACGATCAGGGCAAAAATCGAGGTGATCAACTGAAAAAAATACCGTATTCCAGTCAAACTCTAATTTCACTTACCTGCCAAAGAATGAGCAGAGTGCTGGCCTTTGAGGGGCTCTCGAAGAGATATGATACCGAGTAGATGAACGGGCAGCAGGCCCAGAAATACAGCGCCCACAGCAGGAACACGCTAAAAAATCGTATTTGTAGTTTTTAAAAAAAGCTTACAAGGAGTGCCTTTTGAGTGTCATCGGCAAATCCCTTCGAGACCTAGCTCATTCGATAGAGAATTGAATTCTGAACAACCTCTCGGCGTCCATTTTTGCAGAATGCCTTTCTTTAATTTTATAAAATTAAAAGCTAAAAAGAGAATTTATGCGTCCACGTCGGCGCGTTGCTGCCCCGAGAGAGCCCCAAGGGGAAGAGGCCCTCCGGTCCCTTCTTCCCACCGCTAGACGTGGCGCAGTGGCTAGAGCGCCGGTCTTCCAATTTTTTTTTCCTTCGGGTTGCTAGTTCGATTCCGTTATTGGTAATTACTTTTGCTTTTTGTTTTTTAAAAACACTTTTGTGACTTTCAGAGCGTTTTAAGAATCTGAATAATTGAAATTGGCCGTCACAGTCCCAGAGAAATGTCCTGATTTCTTGGACGGTTGCTGTCTGGCGACAGCAACCGAGGAACTATGGGATTTTCGCACTCTAGTTTTTTAATTTTATAAAATCAGGAAAAGCCATTCTGCAAAAATGAACGACGAGTGGTTGTTCGGAATTCAATTCTCTATCGAATGAGCTAGGTCTCGAAGGGATTTGCCGATGACACTCAAAAGGCGCTCCTTGTTAGACCTTAAATTTTTTGAAATTTAAATTTTCAAAAAATTATTATACTTTTTTACGCTTTTTATAATTTTATAATGCTTACTACTGTAGTGCTCCCTGCATCCAACCGGCCAGATAGAAAACTCCGATTGACACCAAGCAGACGGTGAAAAAGATGACGGCATCGTAGAGGAGGGAGGAGGCCCAGAAGAGCAGCGGGTGCAGCTTTGTCAACAGTTGCTAAATGGAATATAATAGAGCTTCAAAAAGACGGATAGGGGATGGAATCAGCAACATGGGATTTCGCGAGTTTTGGACGGAGACCATTCCCTAGTCTATGCTGCGCCGCAAGGTCTCTAGCCCTGGGCTGGCCGTAACAACGCGCGAATTTTTCTAAATTTTCTAACGCCTTTTCTGAAAGTCTCATCTGATTTTAAACGTTCTAGTCGTTAAAATTCCAAAATCCGTCTGAATGTTGCGTATACGAAGGGGATGAAAACATGGAAAAATTGCAAAATCGGACCATGGTATACCCCATCATCCGAAGCGCATACAAACCTTAAAAAGTCACGTAAAAAATTGATCCGGACCGTTAGAGGGGGTCGTTTTATTTGGTACGCCGGGAACGCGCTCGACCTTCCATAGCGTTATCGATTACGCTCCTTTTATCGGTGGTCCAGTAGCGTGCACGTCGCGCTCGCGGGAGCGGCGTAAATCCATAGGAACCCACAGCAAAAAGTGCCTTTTTGATGAGTTGCCCGCGCCTTTAATGCAAAATAGGCAATCCCTATACCTGATGTTTAAAATGCGAGGCTCGCTCTTCGACGTGGAACATGACAAAGGTGGAGGAGACCAGCGAAAAGGCCAGGATCAACACCGGGATGAGTAGAAAATTTTTCACCTAAAAAATCGGGATAAAAGGTTAGATTGCAATACTTGATCTTCGGCCGCCGCATCGGCTTGATGTTGACGAGCATCCTTTAGCGGGGCATATACTTGGATGGACGAGTGGATCGACGCCGAGGGTTTCCCACTAAAATTACAGGAGTTTTGTGGCCAAAACAAAATTTAGGCTTTTGAAAGGAACTAGGAAGGACCAGAATCGACCCCGATAACTGCTAGGTCTAGAAAACGAGGCGAGACGCATAATGGCGCGTTTTTCTCTGCATTTCATAGCCCAACGGAATTTAAACCGGCCTCAAAATACGTATTTTACGAGCAATTTGGTGCTTTGCGTAGCTGTCGAGACCTAGTTGATCGAAGGGGTAGATTTTGGCCCTTCCTGGACTCTTTAAAAACCCGAAGAACTACGCGAAACCGATCATTACTATATATCGCTTGTTCAAGTCCAATGGCTCGGTGGGGAGCGCTTCTGGCTGTCAAGTTCGATTCCCGACAACGCAATTTTTTTGCTTTTTGGCTGAAACCCGATAAAAGACTGACGTAAAGTGACGTAGCCTAGCATTGGCCACAAGATGCATGGCAGCCGGGGCTGTATGATATCCATGAGCGTTGAAAATGGCCCTCGTCCCGTCGGCCAGTAGACGAACACCCACGCCAAGGGCAGGGAGGTATTTTGGTTCCTGAAATTGTGAGTTTTAAAAGGATGCTTTAAATCCTACAGTATATCATACATCAAAAACCTGGTAAAAGCCCAAATTTAGAACTGGACTGTTAGAGGTGGGCGGAGTGGCTCAGCGGGAGAAACCCAAGCTTTTCAAAATAATCCCGTACGGCTCTATGACGAATTGTAATCCATTTTTATAGTAATTTATACAGTTTCTAGATACATAAAAATTCATAAAAATGATTATAAAAACGTAAAAATGTATGAAAAATGACCAAAAAATCAATATCGAGTTTTCAAAATTTAAAACAAAAAATTAGCCCCTCCCCGCTAAGTGCCCAGTACCCAATTTCCAGCTCTGAAAATCTCACATCAAATATCCGCTGATCAAACGACGTCTTCGCGTCTATCCATAGGAATTGAGCGCAATGCGTTTTCAGGTAATTGTGAAAGACGTCAATTTCGTGTCGTGTTCGATTCGGGTCCGCTTGCATCGTGCATTTGATCGGGGAGACGGCCGTCAAATCCAGGTCTTTCGAGAGGTTGAACTGCAAAAATCTCGATTTTTAGACCCGTCAAATACAAGTAAAACTGAAAGTTTACCTAAAAAAAGAATTATTTTAGTTCCGGGCAAAAATTACAATAAAAACAATAAAAATTACCTCTTTTCCGGGCCCATCCGCGAATCTGTTGCCAACAGCCCAGGCCAGCAGCACCAGGAGGATTGGCAGGAAAACCTAAAAAAATATTTTGCTAAAAGGTAAAATCATCAAATCTTTGAAAAATAAAATTTCAAGAAATTTTTTGTGAGTGCTATAAGCCTAAAAATGCCTACCTAGTAAGTTAACGGCCTTTTTAAAGTAAAATAAAACTATGAAACTAGAAAACTGTCGAAAAATTTCAAAAAATTCGAAAAGTCGACACTTTGGTCAGCAAACGGTCATTTCTCGGCGAAAATCGTTATTTTTGTATTTTTTTGCTAAAAAGTTGTAACGTTTTGACGTTTGGGAATAGTAAAACTCGTTATTTAACTAAGCCCTAAGAAAAAGCGCTCCCCGATAAGACGAAAGAATCTACTTTTAATAATAATTAAAAACCGACCTGGGTGATAAATTGCGAAATATTTCTCTTGCTGTACAGCCACCGTTTCCACAGTAAATATCGGAATTGGTGGGCCCAGAGACAGGGGCCAGATTTGCGGCGCAGAGTGTCATTTGTCTAAACTCCGGTTAAACTCAATTGCGGTTTTTCCTGACCCAGTTTTCCGTAATGTTTGGGCCCTCAATGGCCGGCTGCTGCTGGTTCTGCTGCTTGGCCGCGTCTTTCTCTCCGAGTTCACCGACCTAAAAAAATAAAAAAAAAATTAAAAAACAAATTTGACACTGGGCTGATAGCGGGGGGGGGGATAATGGCGGGGAAGCCGATATACCCTATAACGAAACATAAACCATTTTTATAGCATTCCACACAATTTTTAGAGCCAAAAACACCGACCCAAAAATCATCAAAATTCTCGCAATTTTTTCATTTTGCCCAATAATGTTTGAAACATGGAAAAAAAGAGTAAAAATTGCAAAATTCAATTTTTTAAGGACATCCTAACCATTAGAACCACAAAAAAACACTATAAAAACATCATATCAACAGGTTTGCAACATAATAAGCTTTCCCCTCCCCCCGCTAACAGTACCGTACCCTAAAAATTCCCTCAATAACCTCTGCCGCGTACCTTCAAGAAAATCTGCTCGAGCGTGTTCAGCGAGACTCCAAAACTCAGCAAAACTGCCTGATTCGGGCGTACCACGTTGATTTCCCTCTCAACCCTAAAAAAATCAAATTTTTCCTGAAACTGCTTGGCAATTTTTACCATTTGAACATCTCGGGGAAGAGCTCCTTATATTCGGTGGGGATCGTGATTTCGATTTGTCTTCCCCTGGGTTTTCCTCTCGCAAAAGTCGCGGCGGATGTTCCGATGACATTCGCACAAACGGTCACCACACGGTCTCCAAGGGCCATCACCTAAAAATTGGCAGTTATACAGTAGAGGGCGTCCAAAAAAAACTAGCTAGCCGCAGAATCGTTCGGTTTTTACGGTTTAGGTCTCTATCGAAAGCTTTTGGAAAGGCGAGTCCAGCAAGTCACACCGATTTTCGCAATTTCGACATTTTTTGCTCGCTTTTTGGCATTTTTCATGCAACATGGGCCCGCTATTTTTTTTGTCAAAAACCCAATTTAACCAATTTAATCGCCAACCAAACTGTGTTTTCTCAGATACCTTTCAAAAAGTCGGCCAGGGGCTGCCAGAGAAGATGTAAAAATTTGAAAAATGAAAGAATTATCACAAAAATGTTAGCAAAATGTTTCCTATCGGGAATTTAGAAAAAACGGAGAAATCTCCTGAGTTCGTCGAGAGATTTCGATAGATATCTAAATCGTGAAAATCGGATATCACTGCGGTCCACTAAAGGGCGCATTTTTTTATTGGGATACCCCCGTATACCGTAATCTATCTGTTCGACTCACATCTTCAGGCGTGACCGGCGTGGCAGTATCGGCAGCTTTCCCTCCGACAACAGCTGCCGAGACGAGCGTCAACACGAAGCCGGTTCCATATTGCTTTTTCAGGTATCCCGGGGATCCATTTATGATGTCCTTCCCGGCCTGCATGATGTAAATCCAATCGCCTAGTCTCTCGGCTTCATCCATATAGTGAGTTGTCAGGAGGATCGTTCTGGAAATGCGATATTCACCACCAGATTAGCTGATCTACCGATGGGGCTTGATGTGTTGCAACAGATTCTCGACGTCCCTCCTGGCACCTGGATCCATTCCAGCTGTCGGCTCGTCGAGGAGAACCGCCTAAAATTGAATGTTTTATCGGCCCAAATCCCGGTAAAAATACCTGAGATTCTCCACAAATCGCCACCGCCACGCACAGTTTCCGCTTCGTGCCGCCGGACAGGTTTTGGACGAGCTAAAACAAATAGAGGTAAGTTTTTGATGGAAAATCTGGCATTAACAGGGGGGCAATTTTTCGTTGCATATAAAGCATACAAAATAAGATTTTTCGGCCAAGTGTCAAAATTAGTGTAATTTACTAAGCTCCCAAAACTTTTCGTTTCAAATATAACTGAATTTTAAAAAGGGCATTAACAAATCTGGAAAATCTGGATCTGGAGGCAAATCCCCCCGCTAGTACACAAAATCCAAAAACCGACATCATCAGCCTTGTCCTCGAAATGCAGCGCTTTCAGGTATTCGTCCGTTTCTTGTTTGTAGTCGGTATCGCTGCCCTTCAGCTGGTGGAAGAACCAGATCGTCTCCCGAACCGTCAGCTTGTCGAAGAGCGAATTTTTCTGCGGGCACAGGCCGACCGGCTTCTCGGTCACGTGGACTTCCCCTAAAAAAGAAACCATAAAAGCGTCATTTTGGCTCTAGCTATTCCAAATTTTCCGTAAAAATCACTGCTAGCTTACCGAGCGTCGGCTCGATGAGGCCGCAAATGATGCTGAACGTGGTACTCTTGCCGGCGCCGTTGTGACCAAGAAGGACGGTGATCTAAAAAATTTCCTTTGCCAAATATTTATTTCTGGTATTCATCACATTTCTATGAAATAATTATACCTGTCCCCTGTTCGCCCTCAAGTTCATGCCCTCAAGCGCCCAGTTTCCGGTGTGGTACATCTTCCGCAGTCCGTCGACTCGAATATCAGCCCCGGACTCCTGGCGCACAAAGTCGATCTGATCCTCCAATTCTGGGTTTCGACGGCCATTTCCGATTGTCGTATTGTTCTGAAATTTTGTAAATTGGTTTGGAAATTTCATTTAAATCAATATTTTAGCCGTAATTCACTTTTTTCCTCTAGTTTTTTGTTTCTTATTCTTTTCTCCTTTTTCAGATATTTTCGCATTTTCAAACCCTCCTTTTTCGCGCTGAAAAGCCTACGCCACGCCCCTCAAAAAGAGCCCCGATTTTTGCGGCGCTATAAAATGGATGCTGGGCGGCTTTTCGTACACCATCTGGCCCGCTTGATTGCTCGGCCGCTAGTGAGTCACTCTGGGTTGAAAAAGTGCGGCTTTTTCGCGTCAACAAGGCCCTAAAAATCGCCAAGGATTTGTTGCAGCAGAAAATTGCGCCCAGCAGAGTCGTTACATTTTTATTTCAAGCCACAAAAGAACGCGAACTTCGACCAAAAATGGCCAATTTTCAGCAAGAATTCGGAGATTTGTGGATTTGCTTGATCGATTTTCTGCGTTGAATATGGTCTTCATCAAAATGCTATTAAAATCATGGCTTTAAATTCCAAGGCATTTGAGCTATATTACCTGTCGTTTCTTGAAAATCGTCAGGAAGTAGCTCTCCTCGTTTGTGCGGATATCGTCAATGATCAGCGCTGCAGCTGTCATCCAAACGAAATCAATCTAAAAATTAGTCAAATATTTCGGATCTTCAAAACTCACCAAAAGCATCAGCATTGCACCAAAGAGATTGAACGCTATCTTCGGCGTGTCGAAGATTTGCGGCCAGCCGAGGTGGTATTCTGAAAACAGAACAAAACCTTAAAAATTGTAAAAGCAGTTTTACCTCTATTGCAAGCCTCTGCCATGATCTCAATGGCCAATCGGAAGGCATGGTTGAGATTTAGGGAATAGAAGTAGCAATGGACATATTGGTCCAAGGAAGGACGGCGGATGAATGTAGCGCCGACGGACACTACCCACGCGACGATTGCCACTAAAAATAAGGTTTTTCGAAAGTTGAATGCCCTATAAACACAAAAAAAGGAATGTTATAGCTTGTTATACCGTTTTTAGATATAAAAATCAAGTAAAAAAAAACTTCCAAAAACTTTGCTATGAAAAAGGACCGAAATAGGCCAAAATTAACTCCCCCGCTAACAGGAAAGAACCAATTTTTCCATACATTTCAAGACGTTATTCGACGTTTTGAGCAGCGAGGAGCATAGCATAGAAAATGCGATGACGGCAAACGAGTAGAGATAGACGACGACAAGCACCAAATGCCAGGGGACGAACTAGAAAAGTTAATAAAGAACCTTTTAAGGTTCTAAATACCTCTAATGATGTCATAATCGGGTAGGCGCAAATGGTGAAGATAACCGCAGCCTTGACCCAAGCGATGAAGCCGTGCGTCAAGAAGAAAACGGAAGAACTCAGTCCCATCACGCGCATAAAGTCCTAAAAATTTCAATTTGGCGCCAAACTCCGAAATTCCACCTTCAAGCCGGCATCGATTTCCGCGGAAATCTCCCGCGCCAAGTGGAGGACGGTGGGATAGATGAGGAACGCGTAGATGACCGGAAGGAACTCGAGGAATTGCTAAAAAAATAGTTTTTCACTATTTTCTTCAACGTTTCCAACTTGTATTCCACGCTCTTGGAATGGCGGTTCTGGGAATCGTTGTAGATACACTTTATCGAGCGCGGCCGTTCCGTTTGTGGCTTTCTAAACAATTTTTTAAGCTATATAACTTTTTTACAACCTTCAAAAACGTGTCGTCCAACGCCTGCTTGAAGCTCAAGTAGCCGTACGACCAGTAGGGCGGCACGTTCGGGAGCTGAAGAGAAAAAATATGATTTTTTAACGTACTTTTCAGTTTTATATACTTTCAGCGCGTGAAAACTGACCGCCGAGAATTCCTTTCCATAATATGGATTTCCGCCTATCCATTTGCTCTTAAGATGCCACGGACTGCCCTCGCCCTGTGATATTCCCTCCTCGTCGGGGTGCCAAAGCTTGTAGGACAGACGCGAGGTGGCGAGATTCGCTTCGGAGAACTCGATTCCGGCGAAGGTTCTGAAAATTGAAAACCTACTTCGAAAAGACTGTTTAAAGGCTGCTGCTTGAAAAACCACAAATTTCCCTCGTATTTGGCAATTTTTATGCGCCGTTCCGGAGGGTGTTATCAGTTTGGCACATGGGAAGAGAGGGTGTCCGCGATAAGCCGAATTCATTTCGTTTGCTGCGAACCACCGCACTTATGCGTGGGTGCCAATATCTATTTTTTTTCTTAGGTACGTTTCCTTCCTAATAAATGTCATTCCAAAAATGACGTGGTTGACCGCCCCGCCCCTTATTCATAACAGCGTCTCCTAAACCAACACTTATTTTGGTTTTTCTACGTGTCTTTCTGTCATTTTTCTATCTTGCTGTCGATGCTTCGTTTTGTTCCACGGGATCCTAAACCCTTAGAAAAGAAAGTCAGACTTCGAAGCGCTTCAAAAACAAGGGAGATTTCCTGCTTATGTGCCTCACTTTCTTTCAAATTCTTCTAAAAAGATTAATCACTGACCCATTGACGAGACAGTCCAACTTCAGCTCGGACATCAGACTCGCGCGCAGCTTTTCGTGCATCAGCTTTAAAAACACAGGTAAAATCCTCGAGCTTCGATTACCGTGACATTCTCAACTTTCAGGCATTCCATCCGAAATTTGTTGGCCGTGTACCGGGCGCAGAATTCCTTCATCAGCTCGTCGACCAGCGGGGTTGAGGTGCCATTTGCGCTAGAAAAAAATTGCCGGAAACCCAGGTTTTCTACCTGTATAATACTCGAAAGTTATCACGTCGGCAGTTCTTCTGGGTGATCGGTTTGACAAAGCCCGCCCTTCTGAAATTGAACGTTATTTTCAGGGTAGCCAATCGATAAGTATTTCTACGTTTCAACGGAGCCAAAAACGTAGAGATACGTGTCTATTCGTGCAGCCCCTATGGTAAAGATTCTATTTCAGTAGGTCACCTGCAGAATGTATCCCAATTTCTTGTGTAAGAGGCGCGCAACTATAGATGGGAATGGATTTTATGGCGCAAGAAATTGGCAAAAAACGTTACAACCTCTCCCCTAACATGGAGACGTTTTTTAGTGTCATATTTTTCGCGTTTCAAATTGGAACCAAGCCTATCTTGTGGTGATTCGGGATCTGTTTACCAAACTTGCGGAAGCGTGATTTTACCAAAATTATAAACGACCTAAGACCGACTTGTGTCCGAAATGAGCCACTTTCTTTGGTGATCCCAACTTAAATAGCTCCAAACTTTCAGAAAATGGTGATCTCGCAAAGTTGGTAAGCATATTCGGAATCAGCGCAAAATTCTGCACAATTCATCACGCTCGGCTAAAACATGTCGCCTGTAAGAAAGCATCAAGTTGGTCCCCCAGAGGTCAGAGATAAGAAAAAGGGTAACCTTTCAAAATCAGCCCATCCACCCGACACTTCTATTTCCGGGTAAGTTTTTCCAGGTATCGTCACGCCCGCCTCATTAATCTAAACAAAATAAAGCATACTTTAAAACTGGCAAATCACCTGCATCACCATCCAAACAATGGGCAACGAGAGGAGCAGCGGGATCACGATTTCCAGCACGGTCCATACCTGGAAAAAGAAAAATGGACAATGACTTGCACAAGCAATCCCCCGCACCTTATTCCTCCATATCAGCAGGAGGTTCTTGTGGGTGATGAGGCCGAATTGTCGCCAGAAGGAGACGCCTCGACCCATTTCTGATGTTTTTTCTTGATTTTTAAGAAGTAGATTCAAGCCGTTATTCGCTCAACGGGCATACCTGGAAGCACATATTCGTTTTCATAAATTTTGAACGGCCATAAGAGGAGCTGCTTAACCGCTTTCACGACTACATAGACAATAGGACAATCCATTTGTGATTGCTAGAAATTGCGATTTATGGCATTACCACGCGGCCTAGAAGCTAGCCGTGCGAGATCGTGAGCCAGGGTTGATTGCGCAAAAACGCATTATTCCTGCGGTAGAAAATGGACGGAAACGGCAGCTGCCGCCAATTTCCGCGACTGAGTCAACCAACTTTCCAAAAACTGCGACAATACCTACAAGTCAGAGAATTTTGATAGTATAAAATTGCGTCTAAAGGAACACCAAAATTTGGAATTTATTACATAGTATGGACACTCCAGGGGCACCAGGCAAAGGAGCGGACTTCTACATCAGATTTGATACTTTCTAATCCACCTACCCCTATTTTCTCAGAATAACCTCGTCAAGTTTGACACTAGCAGGGAAAGTTTGTCATTTTTCAGAGTCGACCACTCAACACACAATAATCGATTTTCTATCAGGTCCCTGGCCATTCTCGGGCCCCACAATCTCAAATGAAGCAACGATGCTTCGTCAGCACTGGCCATTCGTTAGATAAGGAACTGTATTCTGGTGGTATCGTTAAAAACGAGTCAAAGCCAAAAATAGGTCACAAGCGAAAGCTTGTGCAAGCCAATAGCTTTCGCAACCTTTTTGGGGACGATGTACGAGGCTACAAACTACGTTGTCCCCCATAGGCCGAATGCTACCTTGAATGTAAGATCGAACGTTGAAGCTGATAAAATAACCAAAGTTCATATTTGAACCTTAAATTGTGTTTTATTAATTAAAAAAAAACGAATTGTGAAACGCTTATAGTCTGTACTTTGTAGTTTCCTAAACAACTAAACTTTCACGGCACACTTTTCGTTCAAGATTTGCTTTTTGATTTTCAGGTTTCTAAAACAAACCTTTTTCCAGGAATGGACAAATTATCGGCTCTCCGAACCGGAAGTTCACTACCACCGCCAAAAGCCAAACCAAAAGCGTACGTTTGAAACACATTTTTCTTTATTTTCCACTTTTTCAGAGCCCCCACCGACTTCTCGCCGTTGCCGTGGAGCGATTTTTTTGACGCCGCTGATGATATAGAGGTTTTTGTGTCTAAATTTAAAACTTGGCGCTTTTTTAGATTGAAGGCGACACGTTTCGGGTGTATTCCAAGGGCACGACGGGTCCTGTTTTCTTCCTCTTTCATGGCGGCGGCTATTCCGGGTTGACGTGGGCTTGTTTCGCGGTAATTTTTTAGGTAATCAAACGGGAATTTTCGGTTTTAGAAAGAACTATCCGAGCGTGTGGAATGCCGAGTCGTTGCCCCGGATTTTCGTGGGCACGGCTCTACCCGAACGACCGATGACGCGGATTTGAGCACAGATCGATTAGTGAAGTAACTTTTACATCTTTATGTTTATTTTCTGATTCAGGGATATCTCCAACCTGTACGCCAAAATCTTTGCCGACGCTGAACCCGAACAGATCTTCGTTTTTGGGCATAGGTTTGGGTTTTCTAGGTGAAAAATTTGTGATTTTAGTATGGGCGGAGCACTGGCAGTTCACACGCTATCACGGGGTCTTCTTCCACACGCGCAAGCGCTGGGAGTGATTGACGTTGTTGAGGGAAGCGCGTTGGAATCGCTGGCAATGATGGTGACTTTTGGAGTGGAAAGGAAAACCTCATTTCAGGACGCCTTCCTCCAGTCCCGCCCTACCTCATTCGCCTCCGAAGAGGAAGCCATTCGATGGTGCTACAAAAGCGGAACTGTCCGCAATGCCGAATCAGCCCGTGTCAGTATGCCATCACAAATCACGAGGTCTGAAGATGATACCAAGGTTTTTCAGCTTTATCTTATTTTTAAGCCTGTTTCAGTTCGTTTGGCGCGTCGATCTGGGCAAAACGTCGCCGTATTGGCAAGACTGGTTCACGGTAAAACCTCAATTTTTGCAGAAAGAATGATGTTTAGGGTCTATCTTCAAAGTTCCTGAGCTGCCCCCAAGTAAAAGTGCTGTTTTTGGCGGGGACCGATCGATTGGATAAGGAGTTGATGGTACGTCTTATCACAAATTGCTAAAACGCTCAAAAGCCACCTAGAAAAGGCGTATTTTTTGTTTTAGATCGGCCAGATGCAGGGCAAATTCCAGACGACGTTGCTGAAAAAAGTCGGACATGCTATTCAGGTAAAAAAACTATTTGTAAAGTTTCTTAAGTCTTTTTAGGAAGATTCCCCATCCGATCTGGCCGACGAGTCAGCCCGTTTCGTCGTCCGGCACCAATTCACCACGCTGAAGGGCGATATCAAGAATGTACAATCCCCTTGTTGTTGATTTTTACGATTTTGATGTTTTATCTTTGTTTCTGCCCGATTACTGCTTTTTGTAAATAGAGGTGCTCGCCCCGTTGAATTGTGATAACTTTCGCATAGCAAAATACTCGTTTTTGCTCATAGGGCCCTAGTCTTGTACACAGTATTTAGTTTCTTGCCTTTTTGGGTTTACTTTTTTGAACTTTGCTCGATAAATAAATGCCATTTCACACAAGATTTGGGCAGAAAGCCGTTGGAGCGGCTTAGATATTGTAGTACGAAAGATTTGAAGCTTAAAAAAGACGTTATTATTAGTTGGTGGCAACGTATGTTTGCGTGGATTCCTACGTATGGTGGTTCTAAAGCCAGAAAACTCAATGGATCGTTTTTCAGATGAAAAAGCCGGGTAAAACCTACCATCGGGCCGATGTGATCCAGGACAAGGCGGCCGACGCGCCATCAATCGTCGATGCCGTCCAGTTTCACGGGGTAAATTGTTGGATTTTGATTATTGCGGGAAAGGGATGGATTTTTATGGGGGTTGTTGACTGATGGTTTCTGACCTAAACGGCTTTTGAAAGCGGAAAAACGCAAGTTGAGGGAGTTAAAGCAGTTTTGCTAGCGAAATCAAACAAAGTCGGCGATTACGTTCAGTTTCGGAGGTTTGACAAGATTGGAAGGAAACCCCCACGAAATGTTGTCGTTATTTGCGGAAATTTGAGGCTTTGCAAGTGTGGAAATGGCGAATTAAATGACGTATCGATTTTCTGTTTGCAAAAATCTATTATTGTACTTCTTTTCCAGGTGCGCATGACGAAAAGCGACGCCCTCGTGAAGGAGATCACGGAGCTGTACCGGTCGGCCAACCTCGATCAGCTCGTCCACAATTCACACTTGGCGGCTAGGCACTTGCAGGTAATTTGGCTTTTTGCTGTTAAGTTCTCTGTTTTCAGGAAGTAGGCCTAATGGAGAATGCAACGGCGCTCATTGACATCTCCCCCGGCGAAGATCGGTACATTGTCAACTTTGTCGTCAAGGTAAAAAAAAAGACTTTTTTCGAAAATTAAAAGCATTTTAGGAGCCAAAACCCTTCACGCTCGGTGTGAAAGCCGGGATGAGCACGCAGGGAGATGCGGATTTGTCGCTAAACGCCGGGAAAGCGAGTTTTCTAGGGAGAGGAGAGACGGCAAATGCTTCTTATGCATATACCGTAAAAGGTTTTTTTAATCGCAATTTTTGAGCATTATTTATCGCTATTTTTCCACGAAATCGTGATAAAATCGCTATTTTTAGGCGACCACAGCTTCAGCCTCTCGCTGATGAAGCCGTTCCTCGGCTGGCAAAAATACTCGAACATCTCGATGTCGGCGTTCAGGTCGATGGCGCATTTGCCGTGGAATCAGGTAAATTGATTTTCTCATCCAAAAATTCTGTTTTAGTCAAATCTCAACGAAAATGCCCTCATTCTGCAATACAACGGCCAACTGCTCGACAAGCGATTGTTGCATACCGTCAAATTAAATACGGTAGGATTTTGTTAATTTTCTAGGTATTTTTTTAGATTTGGCGCACTTTGGAAGCAACGGATGAGGCGGCGTTTGCCGTCCGGGAATTTGCCGGTATAATTTTAAAGGATTTTTTAATCGATTTTTAGGGCACACGATCAAATTCTCCGTGGAGAATGCGATAGCCTATGATACGAGGGATCGGCCGCTGTTGGCGACGAAAGGATTATTGGCAAGGTATCGTTGAACTTTTGGTTTTCTATCTCTCTCTCTCTCTCTCTCTCTCTCTCTCTCTCTCTCTCTCTCTTCTCTCTCTCTCTCTCTCTCTCTCTCTCTAGCTCTATCTATCGCTCTTCTCTAGCTGCCTCTCTTTTTGTGTTGCTCTCTCACTCTTGTCTTTCCCCGAAAATCCGGTTTATCCTACTATATATAAAAAAGTAGTGTCTGTGTGTGTCTGTGGACACTTTGCATAAATGACTCGAAAAAACCGGGTTACCAAGATATCGCGAAGGGGGAAGGTTTTTCGGGCCCAGTCGAAAGGTATTTAGGGGTATTCGAGGGCGTAGATTACTGCACGCTTATCAGATTTTTAAGAAAATGACGATTTATACCTTATTTTAGTGTTTTAAAACATATGGAAATGCCCTCATTTGCATACGAGGTCCTAGGAGGCTCATTTTGCGTTTTGTCACGCTCTCAGTCGGTCGCTTTTGTGATTGTTAAAGAGATGAGGACGGCATCTGTTGAACCCCCCTTGGGGAGGGGGGTTCAACAGGTCCCGCGGCGATCTCGCGCGAAAGAGGGCTCCCAGGGGAGAGGCGCAGAGACATTTTCTTTCCCTCGCGTAATCGATTGACTTATGCCGCCCCTATCTCTTTAAGGTTGAGAGGTTGGCACTAATTCGCTAGAATTATGCAAAGTGCGCAACGTCTTAGGATCTCCGCGCAAAGGCCAGAGGTGAAAAGCCGCGTAGCGGCTTTTCAACCCTGGTTTGATTTAAAATACGTAATACGTAAAAATACGATTTTGAAATTTACGGGTTTTAGGATCAACCAAGAATACGCGGGCCCTCTCGGCGACAGCCATTTTTGGAAGAACCAACTCGATTTCCAAGGCGCCACCAAGCTTATTGGAGATCTGGTGCTTGGCCTATCACTCCAGGTATTTTTAGAATCCTCTTTATAGACATCCGTTTAAGTTAAAAACGGTAAACGGACTCGGAAACCGAGAACTTCACCTGCTGGACCGTGTCTACCTGGGCGGAAATCAAGACTTGCGAGGCTTTGGGCTGAACTCACTTGGGGTCAGTTTGTTTGTTTTTTGATAAGGGGCGTTTGTGCAGCAAGCATGATGCAAAAAAACGCGAATCGCCGAGTTTTCGGTCATTTTCGCAAGTCCTAAAAGACTGGCAATGCTAAAATTCCATCAGATTTCCGGAAAAATGCCTTTTGCTGAAGGTTGGAAAGATTCAAAATTATTTGAATGTATTTTCAGCGCTTCATAAAGTCTGGGTTTTTTTGTAAAATTGGCGTCTTTTCAAGAATTATTTTTTGAAATAAGAAAAGAATTTCGAAGAATTTAATTTTCCCTTTTTTAGACACGATCAAATAATTCCTCGCTCGGCGCCGGCACAACGGCAGCCGGTGTGCTTCACCTCTACCAACCGCTCTTCCCCAAGGATATGGTGTACGTTTACGTTTTCATCGATTTTTACGAATTTTCGCTTCAGATTCGCGCACGCGTGGCTGGCGAGCGGTTCGTTCGCCTCGGTTCGGGCACGATCAGCGATGAGGGAGATGATCAATTCACAACGGGTCACCGCCGGCATCGGGTTGACGCTCATTTTCAAGTGAGGAATATTATCAATTGTAAATTATTGTTGTCGTTGAAAAATAGTTTGGCCAAATTTTTATCGTGAAAAATACAGTGTTAGTCGACAATCGTGATTAAAAAAATTTGTAAAAATTTCTAAATTAGTTTTCTTGCCTGTTTTTGGAAGGGTTTTCTGATTCGAAAAATTCTTAATTTTTTAATTTTTAGCTTTTGGCTGATTTTGAATTTGTGAAAAAATGGTTTCTTTGAAAGAAATCCCTTTTTCGCTTATAAAAATTATAAATATTGATCGTAATTTGTAGGTTAAGCCCTTACAAGGAAACCTCCCCAGCTCGAAGTTGGACTTCGATTCGCCATATAGCCTATCTGATGCAGTTTTTCACGCTGATAACGATACCGATATTTATTTTTGCCGAGCGCCACAGGAACATTGTTAAAAATCGATTTAAAGTTTTGTCATGTTTGGCAGCCCCGCCTCAAAGCCCCTCCCCACGGGGAAGGATCCATCGGCGGCGTGGTGTAGTCGGCAAGTACTTGGCCTACCAATCTAGAGGTCGCTATTTCGAGTCTTGCCGCTGGCGAATTTTTTGCTTTTTGCTTCAAAAGTGCTGTGAAGGTCCTACAAGTCATCAAGAAAGATATTTTTAAGCTTTTTTGCACATTTGGTAGCTAATTCAGGTAGTTATGGCTACAACGAACCACAGGTTCACATACCTCCTCATGAATTTTATGACCTCAAAACGCTTACCTTGGCGCAGAAATGAAGCTTGACATAAAATGTAAAAAAAAAAACTTAAAGACAGAACCTAGTATTTCCTTCTCCTTTTTTTCAAAAAGTTTTCAAAAGAGTGGCTGGTGCATTAAATAGTTGGTGATCCACCGATAATTCCAAATGTCTTCGGCTGAAAAACAGTCTTTCCGAGAAATCGAATCGAGCAACTTGAATTGGTGACCAAAAGTTCAAAAAAACTTAAAACCATATTTCTTGATGACTGATAGGACCTTCACAGCACTTTTGAAGCAAAAAGCAAAAAAGTCGTCAGCGGCAAGACTCGAACTAGCGACCTCTAGATTGGTAGGCCAAGTACTTGCCGACTACACCACGCCGCCGATGGATCCTTCCCCGTGGGGAGGGGCTTTGAGGCGGGGCTGCCAAACATGACAAAACTTTAAATCGATTTTTAACAATGTTCCTGTGGCGCTCGGCAAAAATAAATATCGGTATCGTAATCAGCGTGAAAAACTGCATCAGATAGGCTATATGGCTAATCGAAGTCCAACTTCGAGCTGGGGAGGTTTCCTTGTTAGTCCTGAAAATACCTCAGAAAAGCTCATATTCTCGCAAATTTTTAATTCGTGGAGAACATGCGCTTTTTGCTGATGGAAATAAATCGAAAGATTCTATTTTGAATGACTGTAAAATGCAAAAAAAATTTAAATTCTTTTGTTTTCAGGAACATTTTCCGATTCGAGCTGAACTACGTGCATCCACTCAAATACACGGTCGGCGATTCCGTGACGCGGGGCATCCATTTCGGGGCTGGCATCAATTTCTTGTAGCTGTCCCCCAGAGACACCTCGATTCTATTTTGTCTTCTTCGATAGCATTTACCTCCCCTCCCCCTCCTCTCTATTTATCTATCGATTGATGTTTGTAGTTTAAAATACAGGTCCATTCTTTCGTTATCTTTTTCATCATGTTTTTGTGCTGCCAATACCCCTTTTTCGTCTCTAGGTACCCTCCGTCGTCGTCTCCATTTTCCATTCGTTCGTTTTTAGTTGAGCTAGTCAGTTAGGTGAACACGTTTTTTATTGAGATTAATAAAGCTTTATTCGTCGGATTTTGGTGATTTTTGAAGATTTGCAAGGGTTTTCCGAAGCGATTTTTGATTTTATGTTCTTCCTGATTTTTGTCAGTGTCATTTAAATCTATGGAGTTTGCGAACAAAATTTATAGTTTTACGAGATTTTTAACCCATTTTCAGAAAATGGCCACAAAACGCGCCGTCTCGTTCGTCACCGGCAATCTGGGCAAGCTGAAGGAGGTCAAGGAGATTTTGACTGAATTCGAGGTAACTCTGTTTCGGCCGGCGAGGTGGCCGGCGAACCACGGCGAACTTCGCCTGGCGTACTGCGCCGGCCACCTCGCCGGCAAGGGGTCGGCGAACTTCGCCGGCGAACCAGCCCGGCGAACTTCGCTGGCGAACCTGTGCGAGCTAGCTGATGCTTAATCCCCTTGATTATTATTCATTCAACAATAAGCATCTACGAAGAAAACATGGATTAATAGAACCAGGACGGATTGGACCCAGATAGCGACTGAGGAAGAGGGGGCTTAAATCAATTTATCAACAGTAAAAATTTAACAACGGGTGAAGAAATGAATTTCCTCGCAGGAGAAGCGGCTTGTGGAGGCCTGAATTCGATTCGAAATTGTACCTTTTTGAGATTGTCAGAAGCGAAACGTTGTGTTTGGTACCGGTTTACGCTTTCGGCGGTATTCCTTTACTGACTACCTTCATCTTCGGTTTTGATCAACTACCTTACCATTGTTTCGTAGGAGAGCTGACGCTGCAGTAGCTGTTGGAGCGCCGGGTTGTCCCCATGCCGTTGGATCTGTCGCGTAAGGACTTTTCCGCCCATCAGTTCGGGATCTACCTGAAGGGTGTCGAAATCGATACAGGGGTTTCAAGTAATTACCTTGACGGTGCCGTTATGTTCGCTCCCTATAAATACCAATTTTCCATCGTAATAAGCTGGTTTCTAATAACATCACAGACCTGCGTATTCTTCCATTTCCGGCACTGTATCCTCCACCTCATCTGGATCCGATTCTTCGTTCACCGATCGTAATATTTCAGTAACGTGTTGGATCGCCGTATCGCGCATTCGCCGCTTCTCGTCGGCAGCTTTCATATCTATCAGTCTTTATAATAATAGTATCTTTCTTAAAAAAACCTGTAGTTTCGGCCGCCGATCCCACGCCAGTTGGTTTTTTTTTGCAAATGACTTACGACTTTTTTTTCTCTCGCAGCCCGCCACTCCAGTCGCGTCGTGGTTCGCCGGCGAAGTTCGCCGATCCCCTCTCGTCCCCTTTTCCGGCGAAGTTCGCCGGTGGTTCGCCGGCCACCTCGCCGAGCTCTGGTTCGCCGGCCACTGCGCCGAGGTTTGCCGGCCAGCTCGCCAACCCCTTAGGTTCGCCGGCCACCTCGCCGGCCGAAACAGAGAATGTTTCGGTTTTTTTGCTTGATTTTGTAAGCTATAGATCGTGAACATTGACATCGACTTGGACGAGTACCAGGGAACACCAGAAACGATCGCCCGAAAGAAGTGTGAGGATGCGGTGGCGGCCGTGCAGGGACCCGTTTTGGTGAGTTTCAACGAGTTAAAATTTATATTTGAAATAACTTATTTATACTGGAAAAGGTTCTGTTGAGCCGCTATATCTTTACAGGGACCGTTAAAAGACATATTTTCGGGAGAAAATACAGGACAAGTCATGAAGACGTCATTTTTTCCAGGTAGAAGACACATCCCTGTGCTTCAACGCGCTCGGCGGTCTCCCCGGCCCGTACGTCAAATGGTTTCTAAAAGCCGTCAAGCAGGAGGGAATCACCAAGATGTTGGCTGGATACGAGGCACGTTTTTACGCTAAAACAACTCGATTTTATCACTTTTTTAGGATAAATCGGCCTACGCGCAGTGTGTGTTCGCCTACTGCGAGGGTGTTGGCCGGGAAGTGCATATTTTTGATGGTAAAAAAGATTGGCTAATCCTCTTAGATATGCGCTTTTTTAGGCAGATGCCCCGGGAAAATTGTCGAGCCGCGAGGGCCCAGGGATTTCGGATGGGATCCGTGTTTTCAGGTGATTATTGAGCATTTGATTTGTCCTATTTGAAGATTAGGTTCTTTGGCATTATCGGGGGACCAACTTTTACTATTAAAACTGATTTTTCTGTTATGAGTACAGGAAGTGTTTCTAAACTTTTTTACGATCTGTAAACGTAAAAACTTTACAATTTTTAACTTTACAAACTTTACTTTAACTTTCAAAAAACTTTACAAACTTTACAAATTCAAAAAATATAGATTTTTCGACTAAAAATGGCCAACTTTTAAATTTAAAGTTTCACATTTTATACATTTAGAATGTTCTAAATTTTTTAGATAGTTTTCCACTTTAATATAGCTAAATTTTAATAAAAACCCTGAGAAACACTTCCTTTAACGTTAGTAGGCATTTCTGAGCTTGTAGGAAAAATTGGCCACCCCCGATAATGCGAAAGAGCCGAAGCTTGTTGTTTCTTTTAATTCCTGTTAATCATGATTTTCAGCCGGACGGCTACGAGGTGACGTACGCCGAAATGGACAAGTCCATCAAGAATCAGATCAGCCATCGGGGGCGCGCCCTCGAACTTGTGAAGGCCCATTTTGCAAAAATTTCCCTGTGATTTGCCATTCGTTTTTGTGATGTTGTTATGTTTGTCGATTTTGATCGTTTTTGAGCTTTACATAGGTATAAACTTTATTCACATGATCATACGGGTTCTAATTTCCAAATCAAAGCTTGCTGGCCTCGCGGGCTCTGGCCATCATCGGCTGCAGACTGGTCTTGAAGCCGGGCAGCACCTGGACTCGAGATTTAGTTTAGAAAAGCTTTGGTAAGGTTTTAAAAGTATTAAAAAGTGTTTTAGCACCTTACAATTTATCCGATAGTTTTTTTACAGTTTTTAAAACATTAAAAATCGGTTTTTGAACCTACATCCTCCTTATTCAGCGGATTCGACTGCGCCCATTTCAGCAGATTGTCATACACATTTCCGTCACGCCGTCCGAGGACGCTGCGCAGTTCGCGGTCCGAGATTTCGAATGAATCTACCTGAATTCCTTAGTTTTTCGGTTTTCTAAGCTTTATTTGTACCAGTGAAACGACATTCGGCCTCAAATCCTTCAGCAGACGATAGACATTCTCGCGGATGATGCCAATCTGCTTTGTCGTCATGTATTGATCCTAAAATTTTTAATTTATAACTTAAAAAAGTTCTAAAGTTTTTATGGCGTTTTTATTCAACGTTTCTTACTTTAAAATACGCAAAACTGATGTTTTTCGGTAAACTGCAGCTATTTTTAGCATTAAACTAACCTCCAAGAGATAATGGCTCATATCGAGAAGTTCATAATTCAAGAAAAGCGCGCATAATTGATCCAAAACGTTGTTGATCTTCCTGTCGGCCGTCTTCACGCTTAACACTTTTTGGTGGAAGGCCTGTGCTATGAAGAGGCGCGTGTGAGCACGAGAAGCACGCGTCATCTCGACCGCGTTCGCCTAGAAATCGAGTTGTTAGGGTCTAAAAGGTCTTAAAATTCGAATTTCGGATACATCAGGCATAGGTTTTACCTGCCAAGCAGCTTCCGCGGACATTCCACTTTTCTGGAGCGCGGCTAGCCGTTCGTGGGCGCGGAAGACGACCGAACGCGAGACGTACTCGAATGCCTGAAATGATAGGTATTTTTAGGGGGTTTTAAAGCTTGCCCTTGTGCAAAAATAGGTATGCTTGAAAGCGTTATGCGCCTAATCACGGCTCAAAAGGGATTAATTTTGAAAATGAATTCTAGATAAAACGACTGACCTTGACGAGTTTCTCCCTATCCTCGGCATCCGACAACCTCGACTTCTTCTCCTTTCCCTTCAAATACTCCAAAAGCGGTGACAGTTTCTGTCCTTTCTGGCATTGGTCAGCGGCTTTCATCAAATATCTCGCCAGCTGAAGGAGCATCACCATATTCTCGCCCTCGTATGTGCAACCGCCGATTTGCACGCCTAAATAAGGTATTTTAAAGCCAAATATTATCTGGTAAAATGTCTACTGTATTCCAAACGTTTAAAAACTCCTTTTTCTAGCCAAAGAAATACAGAAAAGCTCAAAATTTACCGTAAATCTCTGGAAAACGGCTGGCCGCGCTGTATCCATGGCCACCGCAAGCCATACGGCACTGTTCGATTGCGTTTCCGGTCTAGAAATATGCTTTTAGACGGGGTTTTTATCTTTTAAAAGTGATAAAACTTTCTAGGACAGTTTTATGGGTTTTCGTACCTCAAACGAAACGACAGCCTTCATCCCCGAGGTGACGGCGTGCAGATCCGTCATAAGCGTTACCTAAAATGATTGCCCGTTTTTTGGAAGTTTTTCTTACATCTCCCTCATCGATTTTCTCGAGTGTTTTCTGGTAAAGCGCCACGACTTCAGCTCCAGCAAAGAAATAGGCATAAGTGCGGGCGAGTTGCGGGAATAGACGGTGTTGTTGCGTTTGGTAGTCCAGAATTTTGACCTCACCGCCACTGGAAGTTGTAGATTGTAGGGCAGATTGTATTTTAGCGAGGGTTAAAAGCCAATAAAAAAATAACGTCTTTTGGCTGTGAATCGGCCAATTTACAGGCATTAAAACAAGAAAAACAGACTTTCAAGGCTCGGGAGACTAATTTTCATAAAATTGACCAAATCCAAATTTCGTGACGATAAAGCGATTTTTGGATGAATTGTACGAAAACATACCC